CGCCTCGATGCCGTTCCCTGTCTCTGGGACATAAGAGACCCTGCAAGACACAGGAGGCCGCTGTCCTACTGGCACCGGCTCTCCCGGTACCGGTGGTAGAGCAGCGTCTGCCTCTAGAGCGCCAGAAGACGCAAATATCTTCTACACTGTTGACTCCGGCACCAGGGGTAGGGCCGTTGAGCCCGGTGCGGACTGGCTCACTGCCTCGATCCGTGGTGGAGCCCTGTCTTCCGTCTACTCCAGAGACCTTTGCGACGGTGAAAGACATCGCTCTCACGGAGCCGGCGCCATCCCAACCCGCTGCACCGCCCGCTCTTCGGACCGTGCAATCCAGGGGGAAGCTTGCCCTGGTACGCCCGCCGTCTCCGAGTGTGGACTCGCGGCACCGCTCCAGGTCTCGGAGCAGGTTCCGACGCCGCTCACAGTCCCGGCGCCGACTTTCACCCCGGCACTGGTCGTACTCGTGGCCTAGATCTTCTTCACGGCACCGATCGGCGTCTTGGCACCATCAAGACCATCGGTACCGGTCGGAATCTAGACGTAGTTCTCGGCACCGGTACAAGCGCCGCTCCAGTTCGAGGGTCCACTCCCGGCACCATGTCTACAAGCGGTCGTCTTCATCTCGGTCCAGATCCGGATCTCGGCACTGACATGGCCAGCGGCACCGATCTCGATCACGGTACCGCTCACCGGCACCGCGCAGAGACCGCTCGCCTACGGACCGGCACCGATCGGCACCGTACTGGACCGAGCCGATGCAGCCGCATTCGGCACCACCCTGGCCCTCGAGATCAGCGTCTCGCTCATCCGACGGGGCTTCACGATCAGCATACCCTCCCCAGGGTCAGGCTGCCGCTGACTTGGGTCACTGGCAGGAGGGGGCAGAGGACCCCGCGCAGGACTCTATGCATTGGTCTTTCTGGACCCCGTGGGCGTATCACCAGGCACCAGGGGGCTCCACCATCGGCCTCTCGCTCGGCACAATCCGAGCCCATAGTCCCGGAGGCCACCATCTCCCGTCCTCCCCCAGGGGGCATGGAGGCTCCCGTGCCTACACCACCTCAGGCCCTAGACTCTGGGGCAGGAGATCCTCTGCTTCAGGGACCCTTAGAATCGAACCCTCATTTGGACCCCTTGCCCCCGGAGGCATCCTCCTCATCTTCCCCGTATGAGGCGGTGGTGGGCACAACAGCCTCAGGCCCGCCCCCAATAGATCTTCATGCCCACCAAGATC